TGTGGCGGTCATTGCTGGGAGGGACAGTGAGTCCTGGCTCTCCCAGTGCCGATGCCAGGTTCTCTGTTCTGATCTCTTTTGCCACTCCTGTCGCGATGGCGTCGGCTCTTTCGTTGCCTGTGATTCCCACGTGGGCGGGCACTTTGAGGAGTACGACCGGCGGCGCCTCCGGGGGCCGTTTCGCGATGGCATCTCTGATTGCTGTGAGGAGTGTGAGGTGTCGATGACCGTCCAGATCCTGCGGCCTGTGTATCATTTTGTGAATCTGGTAAATGCAGCCTAAGCTGTCACTGGCAATGCGGACTACCCTCTCCAAGTCGATCGTTGCTCATGCTTACCAGCTTGTCAGCAGCAAGCAGAACAATTCACAACCACAACACCTGGCAAGCAGGTGGGAGTGCTGCCAAAGCGATTGCGCGGCGCATTGGCGCCGCGCTTGACCCCGTCATCGGCCTCACCCAGACAGCGATTGTGCCCGGCAGGTAGATCGGGGACAACATTCCGGTGCATCTGGAGCTCCTTGACCTGCTGTCGCCCGACCCTGCGTGCCGCGCGGGCGGCCCGGGAGCCGCAGGCGGCGGTGCGCTTACGTACTTTCGCCGACGCCGCCAGCGGCGCCGACGGCGACGCTGGCGGCGCTGGGGCCCGCTGCAGCGCAGCAGCGCGTGGGAGGAGTACGCGCGGCAGGAACGGCGCGTCCACCAGCGGCGGCGCTTTCGAGGCGGGGGGACAGGGCTGGCCAGGCGTCGGCCTTCGGGCCAAAGCGGTTTTCCCGGGTTTCCCCGCAGCCGCACCCTTGCTCGCGGTCCCACGGCCAGCCGAAGGCGGGTTGCCAAACGGTCCAGTTAATGTTGGGGCGCTGGGGTGCTTGTATTTCCAGACCTTGCCTATAGAAACAGGGCAACGGGGCCCTTGCATGAAACTGATTTTCTTGTTAGGCCAGAAATTTTTGCATGGCTGGTTGGTGCGTGCCCCTGCCTGACGGTCGCCCTGGATGTGCGTTTTTGTGCGTGTTGGAGCCCCCGTGCCTTGCTCTGATCGCTCGCATGGTGTGCACGGGCGGGTCCCAGCTTTTGTGCACGATGCTGCCCCCCCCCTCTGCCCCAAACGGCGTGGATATTGGTGAGGGTTGCGGTGCCAGTGGTTTGGATGATGGCGTTTTCTTGGGGTTCTCGCGCGCGGCCACAGCTCTGACTGATGCCAGTGTGTCTGCTGGATCCTTGCACTCGGTGAGGCCACATGCTCTGCCGCTGTCGTGCACAATGGGCACCGGTGCGCAACTGGCGCCAGGCGCGGGCTGTGGCCACGCAACCCAATGCATGCGCATTGCAACCATGGCTGATTAGCTGTGACAAAAGCAATGCAATGCAAAACTTGCTCTGCTTGTAGTGTCTATGAAAGGAGGCGGTCAAATGGACGGCTTCATGACGTGTGGGCATTGATTGTGTTATCTACCTACATGTGATGCTCATGCCATGCTTTGTGGGCATGCACAAAACTAGGTTTGAGCTTGACCACTGCTGACCAGCTAGCGGCTTCACCATTCTTGGAGCAGCCTGTGAGCACAACGTCTTGTGGAGAATCTACATATCAGGAGACAACCGCAGCAGATCAGGTGAGGGAGTTTTGCTGCAGAGTGACACCGTCGTGCTGCATTCAATGTTCCCGTGAGCTGCACTCGACTGCGCGGCAGATTGCTTGTACCTAAGTCGTAAATTTGCATGCTTCAACGCATACAAATCTCAGCTTGAGTGGGGATCTACCCAGATCACGCCTGAAAATCGGAACCTGCAGCGAGCCGGAGGCTGCACAGCAGGAGGCCCCTGGTGCCCCGCAGTGAGAGCCGACAAGATGTCGGGCGCTGCCGTGAATCTGATCCTGGAGAAGGTGGGCTCTTGTAGCCATCGCACACAAAGCTGCGCCTCGCTCGCCATGTAACTTGCCGCCAGACATATGCGCGCAGCGTTGCTGTTGGAGTGGATCGTAGCGGATTCGGCTAGCAGTGACACGCCCAGCGGCACGCACCCGCTGAGTGTGTGCCCCTTTGTGTGTGCAGCAGCGCAGTGTGACAGGTCCTGTGACCTGACACAGGCCCGCTGTGCGCAAGCACTGTGCACATGTGCTGCCTCAAGGGCTGCATGGTGCCAGCTGTACAGCCAGAACCTGGATGTGAGCATTCGTTGCGCCGCCAAATGCCCCTCAGATCGCCTCCAAGGACAAGGACTTCCGTTACATGGCGACATCTGACCTGCTGTCAGAGCTGGGCAAAGATTCATTCAGGGTGGGCGGGGGATGGCGGAGAATCTGGAGAGGAGTTGGGGACGACGCCGGCGCAGCAGCGGACGGCCGAGGATGGATGGGCGTCCGCACGGCTGCGCGGTGTCCGTTGCCGCGCTCCGCCACAGGAACGTGGCGCGCCCGTCGCCCCTGCTGCGGCGCTCGCGGCCATGCGCCCGCTTTGAGTCTCCGCATCTTGCCCATCTTGCCCGCCGCCTCACGCGTGGCCGCTGTCGGAACAGGTCGACCCTGACCTGGAGCGCCGGCTGTGTGCTGCTGTGGCAGTTCAACTGGAGGACGTGTCTGGCGACATCTCCGGGCTGGCTGTCAAGTGGTGCGTGGCGCCACGGCCGGCAGTCGGGCTGGGCAGGAGCCGCTCCCACATCATTGCGCAGGCTGATGCACCAGCCCGCGTAATCCCAGCTGCCGCGCTGCTGGGACTGCCGCGGCCGCGCAGGCGGTCGCTGTGGTGTTGCAGTCAGCTGCCATCGGCGATTGCAAGGGGTGCACGTGTGGATTGAAGAGACTCTTTGGGCAACCTGTGGTGATGGGGGTGGAGGTGGCGGTGAAGATCGTGCACACACCCGCTGCCGCGGGCCTCCTGCTCCCTTTGACCACCCCTCTGGTGTCTGCCCCCTCTTCTGCGCAGCCTGGGCCTGTTGGTGCGCAAGGTGGGGGAGCAGAACGCTATCGCCGCCGTCAACGATCTCACCAGCAAGGTGCGGAGTGCTGCGTGGGCAATTCTGCGTGCGCACGCACACACGTGCATGGCGTGGTTCATGGCTGCGAATGCATGTTGTTGATAGGACCAATTATGAATGGGGTGAGGTGTCATGCGGGCCTGTTGCCTCATCGGAGCCATGCAGGCATTACGTCGCCCATGCATGTGTGACCTTGCATGAGGTGCGGAAGCCAAGGCACAGCCCGTGTCTGCTGCACTTCCCAGCCCACTCCTTGGATCCTTGGACCGACGGACATGAATCTGCGCACGCCGCTTGGGGTTCTGATGGAACACGCCGCGAAACCGCTAGGTTGTATCGTCCAAGAAGGAGTCCACTCGGGACATTGCATCGATCGCTCTGAAAACAGTGATCTCCGAGGTGAGCGACAGGCGGCGTGTCGCGCGCGGTCAAGAGTTATTTTGCGCCTGGATGGACTGGTCTGCTCCGCGGGTTGATGCATGGTGGCATTTCATGGGTTGTTCCCTGAAAGCTGCCACCTCATGCGCTTGAAATAGGGCCATTGGTTGGTGCAGAGCTCAAGCGGCCCCGGCGCAACAAGGCCTGACGTATCCTCCGTTGTCCCTGCAACGATGACTACCACAGGTGCCGCCGGGCAGCAAGCTGGCGGCGCCCGCGGCCGCGGCAATCTGCGACGGGATGCTCAAGGGTGTCGCCGCCAACAAGGTGCGGCGCGCCACAGGGCCGCGCTCCACGCGGGGCCCAGCTTGCCTCACGAGTGACGCGTGTGCAGAGGTCTAGCTGATGCGGTCTGCGGCGATCTTGCTCGTCAGATCATTGCCTGGTGGCGTGATTCGGATTTCTCAGGGGCCGTGCACTGCCCGCGAGTCCGATGCTGAGAGGGTCAGTGCAAGCTGTGACGGGGCTTTGAACACCGGCTGCCGCCCCACTCACCGACCTGTCAGGACAACACGGCGGTGGCGTCTGACAGCCTGGACATCCTGGTGGAGGCCGCCACCACCTTCGGGCCTCACGTGCAGCCCATGCACGCGCAGCTGCTGCAGGCGTGTTGACGCTGGGGCGGCAGGCCGCGCAGCTGACGCGTCTTGGGGTCTCAGATGACCTGGTGCCCAGCATGCCCGGGGTCCCTTCCCAGGGGATGCATACCCTATTTCTGGCCGTGGTCGAGTTGCATTATCGCCCCACCTGCGTCCTGAAGCATGCAGCACGAAACGACCCGCGATGACGTCATCGCAGGTCATCCTGGAGCTGATGGAGGACCCGCGCCCCGCCATCAGGAAGAGGGCCCTGCAGTGCCTGGGTGAGTAAAGGCAGGCTTGGGCGGCCGGGCGGCCTGCTCGCCAGCACGAAAAACCGCCCTCGCCCGTGATTGCCGCCTGCTTGCCACACTCCCCCTGTGGAGCCCTTTGCCCAAAACCCAATGGACAAAACTCATGGCGCGCCTCGTCTTGCCCCTCTCACACGCCGCGCCTCCTACGCACCAGCCGGCCTGTCAAGCCATTTGAATGACGCCCTGCTGCGGGACGCGGCCGAGGCCCTGCTCGCAAAGCTCGACGGCACGGCCAAGAAGGGCAAGGCTGCAGAGGCGCGGATATACGTGCAGGTGGGGCTTGACGTGGGCTGTGCTTGGCTGACCATGCCGGTCATGATTGGTTGGCTCGCGGCAGGTGCAGGGGCGCGTGCATGGTGGGCGTTTTCGAGGGCCCGGCGTCCACCCTGCGTCGGCGGTTGCGGCCATGATTGGTTGCCTTGCGGCAGGTGCAGGGGTGCGTGCATGGTGGGCGTTTTCCAGGGGGCAGGATCCACCCTGCGTGGGCGGTTGGGGTCAGGGCGCAAGGGGACCAGTGAGCGGCGAAGGCTGCGAGTGCCCCTGGTCAGGCATCCTGCGCCACTTGGATTCTGCTCCGCCGTCCTTCGGGCGTTCTCCTGTCGAACTTCGGGGCGTGCGCGGCAGGGCTCGGCCCAGGTCAAGAAGTGCAGGCTGAGCTGTTCACGATCCTGCCCACTGCCAAGGACCCAACGGCCTCTCTGGCCCTGGACGTGGCTGGATTGCCTCCATCACACGCAACATGGGCCCACCAACCAGCCAGTGTGACTGCTGTGAACCACCCCAGCAGAAGTAGTCACTGCACTGGCATCTGGCAGCAAGGCTTGCAACCGCAACTCCACCACATGTGTGACTGCAGGCCATTGGCGGCGTGTCCCGCGCCACCGGCCACCGCCTCGGCGCATACCTGGGCCGCGCGCTGCCGCTAGTCGTGGCGGCCTATGAGGGGGCCGGGGAGGGGGAGGCGGACGACGAGCTGCGGGAGCACTGCCTGCAGGTGATCTGCCGTGATCTGGTTGATGAGATCTGAGATCCGGCGTCGTGGGCCGCTGCGGGCCTAATGCGGAGAGCGTGGGCCTCGCGTTTGTTGCAGCACGCGGCCTCCTGCATCAAATGGCGGCAAGGGCAGGGCGGGTCGGGGCTACTACTCAAGCGCACATGTGCCTGCGTGAAGGCGTCCTCCACCACCCTCCACCCCTGCCCCCGTGCATCCCCGCACACGCGCGACCCGCAGGCCCTCGAGTCGTTCGTGCAGCGCTCCCCCGCCGACGCGCGCGCCCAGCTGGACTCTGTCCTGGCTGTGGCGCTGGAGGCGCTGAGGCACGACCCGAATTTCGCGGACGACATGCAGGACGACGGCGAGGGCGGCGGGGGTGAGGGGGCATTTGGCGCCGGAGCACGGAAAGCTTGCATGCTGCTGGTACAGCTTTCATGCTGTTGGCACAGCTTGCATGCTGCTCGCAGAGCAGTCGCGGCAGTGATGGAGGGGAGTTGCCGCGAACCAGTGCTGTGTTATGTGTGCAACGTAGACAGTGATAAACCCCTTTACTGTTGGATGGACGCAGGAAAAGCCTCAAGCAGCTCAACACCGCCCTCCGCTTGGTCATGTCTCCCTCCGCCCCTGCCCTGCACTCATAATGTCAAGACACCGCCTTGCCCTTCCGTCCCGCCAGGCGGCAGCGATGACGACGATGATGGGGGCTCAGAGGAGTACTCTGACGACGAGGACGTCAGCTGGAAGGTCAGGAGGTGAGTCATGGGGTGATGGGTGACGTGGCAAAACGGAGCTGCACTCATATGTGGGGTTTTGGGGGGTGCTGCGCGCTTGGGTGGGGCGCGGCTACAATAGCGACTTTGCAGGCGCTTCTTCAGGCAGCGCCGCGTGCCGCATCTATTGCTTGCAACGCACACCCCAAGCGCACTGCGCGGAGTGACTTTGCCCAATCGCCCTTGTCCATTCACTTGCCTTTGTTCCGGCTATCCGCGCCCCCATGCCGCCCTCCAAAGTCGATCCCCTACCCAACCCCCCAACCCCTTGTTTCCAACAGGGCGGCGGCCAAGCTGGTTTCTGCAGTGGTGGCGGCCTACCCTGACGCCCTCCCAGAGATCTACGGCAGGTGAGGGGGCGGAGGGACGGATGCATGGTGAATGCAGAGATCCCCGCCTGTCGTGCGATCCCGGCTGGCGCACGGGCGTGCGTGGGCCTGGGTGGGGGGAGTATCGCCACAGCTGGCAGCCACCCGGCTCCGGTTCGCGCGTGCGCCTGAGCCTGCGACACGTGCGCGCTGTCTGCCGTTGCAGTCCCTTCTCTGCGCCTTGTTCTGCATCAAACACAGCCTCGTCACCGCGTTGTCGCCATCGTCACACACCTCTCAACCCCTCTGTCACGCCCCCTGTGAAGGGTTGCTGGCGACCTGGTGTCGCGGTTCAGGGAGCGCGAGGAGAGCGTCAAGGCCACTGTTATGGCCGCATACTGCGAACTCGTGCGGCAGGTGAGGGGCCCGAAGGGGCGACAGCGACGTGTGACGAAGTTGTGCCTGTGTCGGCGCACTTGCGTTTGCAGCCGCACGGGTGTTCACATACAGCAGGATTGTCGTTGCTGCAGCCAGGAGCGTCCCGTAGGTCGGCGGCCGTGCGCTTGCGGTGTGCTTGGAGCTGCGAGGGGAGTGTTGTGTGGTGCGCAGCCATTTGTGTGATGCATGTGTGAGCCTGGATGCATGGACGTGAAGTGTGAATCAAACACATCAAAGCAAACACTTCTGGTTCCCGCCCTGCTTTCGCCCACGCACACACGGATGCTGTGTCCCCTCGACCCCTCCCCAGGTGGCTGCTGCCGCATCCCGCCACTACGCCCGGCCGGACGACCCCACCAGCCCCTTGGCGCTCCTCTACAAGGGTGAGCCAGCCCTCACCTCAACATTACACGCCCCCTCTTACCTTTGGTGTCCTCTACAGGCAATGAGGGCACCTGTAAGTGGGGCCTCACCGGTCCACCTGGCCTCACATGCCCGTCGCCGCTCGCAAGACCTGGCATGTTGGCACCAAACCCTACCGTCCTCCCTAACCCTGGCCGGCCGCAGACGTCCCCTCCGCGCTCAAGGCCGCGGCCCAGCAGCTCGGCGGCAGGGACGTCAAGACGCGCGCGGCGGCGTTCGGCGTGCTGCGCGCGCTGGGGGGCGCCGCGCCTGCTGAGGTGGCGCAGCAGCTCGGCGGCCTCGTGCCGGGTGAGACCTGCGGCGCTGGCGCTGCTGAGCCGCGCGGGCTGGGCGCGAAGTCGTGTGCAGGACCGCCCCAGCAGGCGGCTGCTTGCTCCGGTTGCTGGCCGCACGCCAGATTGGGGACACTGCGGCTCTGGTGTGATTTCTTTGCCCGTGTAGGGGGCGCGCCTTGCGCGGCCATCGGGCCGTGGTCGTAGCCGCGTGGGGTACAAGGGGACGAGGTCCCAGGATGCTGGGCCACCCTGCCAGAGCTGGGGCAGCTGGGTACCAATGCCCCCAAGCTCTTGGCGGCGACTGCGCCCTGCCAACTCTAAGTCGCATGCCCCTGGCGCCACCTCGCCTGGATCCCCCACCCACGCACAACCACGCGCAACCGCACCGCAGCCCGGGGTCGTGACTCGCCTGCATCAATGCCCCCTCGCCCGCCACCCGCGCCCGAAGGGCCCCAGCC